CTGCACTGGCACCACAGCTTCTCAGGGTCCCGCTGGTGACACCAGGAGGCCTTTTCACAGTGCAGTGGCCTTTCCCACAGTAACGGCTTCCTTCCTTTTTCTGGCCTGGGCTCCCGGCAGCCCCTGCCTCGGTTCCTCTCCTTCTGGGGTCCTGCAGAGTCTCCTTCGCTGTTCCCTGGCATCACCTGACCTGGAGATGGCCAAGGTCTCTGGGGCTGCCCTTGTTCCCTCGGGGTCTTGGGGGTCTCTACGTTCCTATGGCTGTCACTCTAGGGCTGTGGCTCCAGGCAGGGTCTGTCCCCCTGAGCTGCAGACTGCTCTCCTGGATGTTTCCCCCTGAGCGCTGAGGAGCAGCTCTGAGCCGGCGGACCCCAAGAGGGAGCCCCGATTCCTCCCACCAAGCCCGCCACGTGGGTCTCAGCAGACAGTAGCACAGGCGTCTGTGGCCAAGGCCTTGTGGTCTCCTGACTCCTGTCCTCTCGCACAAGCCCTGTCCCTTTGTCCCCGAGGACCAAGCCGGCTTCTCCTACTTGGAGGTTGCAGTCCCTCACCCCATCCTGCTTTTGTCCTTGACCTTGTAGCCTGCCCTCAACACAGAGCAGAGAGCCTTTAAAAGCTCAAGTCAGCAGCGCTGCTCCTCTGCTCAGAGCCTGGCAGGGAAGCCCCTTTGCATGGAGGTGAAGTCCTTGAGATGGGCCTCGAGGCCATCCTGCAGGACACAGCCTCACCCCCGCCCCTTGCCCCCTCCACGTGCTCCTCGCTGGCCTCTCGCTGGCCCCCAGACCTATCAGGCCTCTGAACTTGCTCTTTGCACCACCTAGATTAATTCGCTCAAATCTGCAGGATTCTCTTCTCTCTTCCAGGCTTTTCTCAGGTGTCGCTGCCGAGGTGAGGCCATGTCTGGCCCCAGTGCACAGTCCCAGGCCCCGCTCCGCTTCCTGCTTTGCTCTCCTTGGTGCCTACGCCCGATGTATTGTGCACACTGTTCTTGTTTATTATGCATTTCCCAAGGGCAAGACAGGGCAGGGCTTTCTGTCTGTTTCGTTCACTGTTGTATTCCCAGCCTCTCAAATACTGTCTACCGCACAGTAGGTGTGGAATAAATGTTTGCTGGATGAATGAATTGGATGTAGCTCGGTGTCAGCAGCCTGCCTCACAAGTGCAAGGCCCTGGGTTTGATTGTTGGACTCTTAAAAAAAAAAAAGCAATCCCCAAACAAGGGCTAGGGTGCAGCTCAGTGCCAGAGTGTGTATTTAGCCTGCACAAGGCCTAAATTCAATTCCCAGCATTGCAGAAAGATAGAAAGAAGCTGGCATGGTGGTGCACACTTGTAATACCAGCTACCATGAGGCTGAGGTGGGAGAACCACAAATTTGAGGTCAGCTGGGACAACTTAGTGAGATCTTGTCTCAAAATAAAGTGAAGGCCAAGGTGTGTGACCTGACTCCCTACCGACCCTAGAGCTAGCCCTGGAAGCTGTGGAGGCTCATCCCCAGAGGACCTCGGAGAGAGCTGGAACTACATCAAAGGTTTGCTACATATCTCCAGCACCATGCAGTAGAAAAGCAAGAAAATGATGCCAGCTACAACTGAGGAATAGCGTTTGTGCTCTGTACGAAGAGGGATCTGCTGAGCTGATGGGTCCCTCTGTGCCCCCCACACTGCAAAGCAGCATTCAGGCCCCAGGCTCCACAGCCTTTGGGACTGGGTGATCCCTGCCCAGAGGTCCCCAGGCTGTGGAGAGAGCGTCAGTGAGCAGCTGCCCCACGCCTCTCTGCTACCCCAGGAACCTCGGATAGGAAGAACCAGGTGCCTCGCCCACACCACGAGACGGCAGCCAGTGCAGGAGACACCTGGGACTCAGCAACCGGCTGATTCAGAGCAACACAGGAGAATGTCAGGATGAGGAGAAGACGCGTCTCAGGCCTCCAGCCCACGCAGAACAAGTCCAGGAGACACAAACACAAAAGAAATTAGAAGTCCACACCTGACATTTCTGAAATGACAGCAACTGAACTAAAGAGACAGCTCGGTGCTTATGTTGCTCGGTTAACTTTCATGCGTGTATCTGGCAGTCTAGCAGCTATTCAGGGCGTGCAGTAAGGACTGTTGAGTTCCTTCTGTCTTGGTTTTGAAACCCAGTGTTGTTGTCATTGCTTGGTTTTGTTTCATTTTATTGTTTTGTTTTATTCTCTTTTTTGTCATTTTTATCTTAAAGAGAATAAAACCAAGCAAAATAAAACAGGAAAAAGCGTATCAAAACAACACAGTGTAAGTGATACAGAACTTCAAGACAACAGGAAATCAACAATGGTTACCATAATGCCTCTTGTCTTCAAAATAGCTGCAGATACCTTTAGACGTAGGAGAAATCAAACAAAACAGAAGAGAATAGAACCAATAAAAACAATGATGACAATAAAGGACTTCAAAACAAGATAAGATAAACAAGATAATCCAAAATGGCTACCATATTCTATTTTGCTGTCTTTGAAGTAGCTGCCCAGGCCATTGGGCATAATAAAACCACACAAGACAAAACAGAATAAAACCTAACCAAGCAAAACAATGAAAATGGTACAGGACTTCCAAACAAGATGATAGGGAATTAACAGTGGCTACCACCTGCAGAAGGAGAGCCCCATAGGTGCTACATTGTTATCCTCTGAATAGGTGATCAGACCACTGGCCCTAGACCTGCAAAGTCAGAGAAACACTAAACACTACAAGCACTAAATTGTACCCCAGTAATTATTATCACAGCCTGTGTGTTTTATTCTTTTTAAAATAAAAATAAATAAAAAATCAGAGATAAAGCTCAGTGCTCCCTGAATACAATCTCCGGAACTACAAAAAGCAAACCCAAACCAAAACCCAAATCAAACCAAACTAAACTCCTCCAAACCAGAGCCACATAAAACCCAAACAATAACAAGAGAACCTAATCTAGGACAGCAGCCCTAAGCCTGTTTTGCACGGTGAAGCAGTCCCCGTGGCTATACTACAGATCGCCAGCAGATGGCACTGTGGCCACAGAAATGGCAGGCACTTGGCTGTTGGCCGCTGTTCTCAGAAATCCACCCTGCTAGATGCTTCTGCTTCAGAGGTGAGCTGCTGGGATGAGCATGTGACCGCGTACATGTCTCCCAGGTCATGCCCGCTGCCTCGTGCATCTCCTCATGCCTGCTTTCATATCCTGGTAGGACTCCAGAGAACCTGCCATAACTTCTAGGCTGGCAAGGCATCCGGATGACGGTGGCATCAGGGCCATGCAGCCAGCTTTTGGAATTGTTCAAGGAGTCCTGGGACAGCCACCTTTGCTTTGAGCCACAGGTCCTGTCCTGCTGTCCCACAGCGGCCTGGAGCCCTGAGCTGTGTCCAGCCCCGCCCTTCTCAGCAGCCTGGGGTATGCATGGAATGGGGTCTTTCTCTCCCTCCTCAGGCGCTGGGGACCACTGAGGACCCTCCCTCTGCTTTCCTGCACTTCCTGTGGTCGGTGTGCGGAGGAACAGGTCGGGACTTGGAGCCCAGACCAGGGCCCATTCCTGGTTCTGCCCCTGGCCAGAGGGGTGACCTTGGCCATGTACTGAGTCTGTCGGTTGGTTTCCTGGCCAGTGAGAGAGACTGACCCAGGATCACGGGCCAGGCATAGCCCCCTCCCATCTGGTGCTGGGCCAGCAAGGAGCCGGTGTCTGCAGGAAGTGAGGTTCCCACAGTGGAGCAGCTGTGTGAGGACGGCCAGGAGGAGCGGTGGGGCCAGGGCTGCGTCTTGCTTTTAGCTGCTCAAACCTCTGTGTAATGTGTCTCTCCTCCCTGCCCGGCCCCATCCAGTGCAACCCAGGGACTGGGGGGCTGTGGGCACCAGAGGTTTGCTCCTGCATTAAAGAAGCCGTGATTTAATGGAAGAGACAGAACTGAACCTACACAGAACAGAGTTAAATAATAAATATGAGACAAAGTACAAGAGATGTCAGCAGGATTCATGATGAATGGCCCAGTGGTCAGGACAGACGGGAAGTGCTGTGAGCCACCCAGATGAGTGTGTGGGGCTCAGGGCGGCCAAGCGGGCTCTGGGGAGGGGAGGCAGAGGAGTTGACCTATAAGGACCCCAGCTGCGTCCTGCACCTCACCTGCCCCATTGGCTCTCATGGCCCAGGCCTGGGCTGCATTCCAGAGGTGCTCCTGCTGAGTCCACGGCTCAGGGCAGGAAGGAGGGACCAGCTGGAGGAGCTTGGCCCCCTGCCTGGGTGGTGTCTAGAATCCCCTGAGGCCACCTGGAGTCTGACATGGTTCTTGACCAGGGTGTGGTTCTAAAGATGGCACTGTGTCCATCGACAGAGGGCAGCGAGTGAGCCAAGGACATGCTGGTCCCACTGAGGTCATAGGGGAGGTGTCAGTAGCATCAGAACCGGGAGCTCATGCCCTCCTTTGGGACCCTGGGGTGGGGAGTGTGATGGGAGACATCACCTCTGTCCTAATGTCACCTTGGAGATACGTAAAACTGCCCTGAGACTGTGAAGGCCCCTGTGAGCTCCATCTCCTGATGAGACTCCACTGGCACCTCCAAGAACTGTGGGCGCTTGCTCTCTCTTATCCTGAGGCAGAAGACATCTGGGGTTTGGGGTTGCCATGGGGTGGCATGGGGTGAGTGACAGCTTCACCTGGCCTTTCCCCCTTCCGGAATCTGGACATCAGTGTGGTACCCAGTGTGGCCAGCTCTCTAAGCCCGTCTTAGGACTGGGGCCTCCACCTTTCTCCCCGAGTCCCCTCTTACCCTCGTTCACTTGGGCTCCTTGAGAGAGACCTCTAGGCTGCAGGAAAGGACTCAGAAGCTCCCAAGTGGCTCACAGGTGCTCCCCTTTCACTGCTCACTCTGGAGCAGCTGGGCTTTGTAGTTTCCATTTGCCAGGGAAGCTGCTATCTTGGGAGGCGCCCTCCCAGGCACTGGCTGGTGGCGCTGGTCCCAGAGCGCTGGCCGCCTCTCCCTCCCTGCCTGGGCTCCATTCTGCTGCCCTGCCCACAGCCTTGCTCGGCTGTCCGCCTGGCACAGAGGACGCCTGCCAGCTCTTCTAGGAGGGGTCCTTGGGCTGGGACAGTCAGTCTGCTCCCCCACGACCCTCCCCCACAGCACAGAGCGAAGCAAGCACTCACTTAGATTAATTAATCTGCTGCCCAGCCTGCTCCTCCAACTTATCTTTTATTCATGGACGAGCAGCATTCTCCGCTTTACCAGGACGTGGGCATCAATATTTCATCTTGCTTAGCCTGCTAGCACCCAGCTCCCTCTCTCTTGCTTCCCACGGGCTCTAGGACCCAGAAGCTGGGCGTGCTGGTCGACCTGCAGACCTAGGATGCCAGCCGGCCTCCTTGGGCCCCTGACCTGTCCTCCATGCCATCCATCGCTGGCAGAGCGGGGCCCCAGCCAGGTGCATTTCTGAGTAAGTGAGCTGGAGAGGAAGGGAGCTGGGCTTTGGGGCGGGGGCTCAGGGTCCAGCAGGGCTGAACTCAGTGGGGTGGGCTGGGGCTGGCCTTGGCACATCTATGCCAAGTGGTCCCAATGGAGAGGAGGGTTATGAAGTGCCCCGCATGGGCCCTGGCATGGGCCAGGTACTGATTTTTCTTCCTCCTGTGGACCAGATGTCTTGCTCACTTTTTGTCCCTGTACCTGAACACTGAAGTGACCACAACTGTCAGGACCAGGGTCACTTCGACCTTCTCCCCTTCCCCACCCACAGACTCTCAGGCCTCTCAGTGTGTGCTCAGGACCCCGAGGGCTGGACTGCACATCTTGGGGGGCTCCTGGGCCATGAGGGCCTCCTGATGGGGCTCAGAGCCCTGAAATGGGGTCTGAGTGCAGGCGTGTGAGTGTGAAGCGGAAGTGTCCGAGCGTGTGCTGTGCCTGTGCCAGGCTGGAGTGGGGAGAGGATGGGAGTGTTCTTCTGGGGGGTGGGGCCCTAGCTTCCATCAGATTCTCAGCTGTGTCCACGAGGTCACAAACCACTACGTCCTGGGCAGGTTCGATCTCTCTTTGATAGGAGGGGAGGAGAATCAACAGGGTCATGCTACCCAAGAGGCCATCTGTACGGGATGTGAGGAGTGTGGGCCTCATGAGTGTGCTAGTGTGCAAAGGTGTGTGTGTGCATGTGCATGTGACAGAGGGTGCACGTGTTTGAGAAAGGAAAGTGCCTGTATGCATGTATGTGTACGTGTGTGTACATGTGTGTGCATGTGTGTGTGCACATGTGTCTGTGCATGAGTCCTGGGCGGGCACAGCGGCAAAGGAACTGCTTGCTGTCCTGTGTGGGGGCCTCGTGCTGGAGATGGCCTGGGATGCGGGCAGTGATGCCCACCTGGCCTGCAAGGGACTGGGCACTGCTCTAGCTCTCTGCTGCGTTGGGGGCCCGAGGGGCCCAGCTGGCCAGGACTCGTCTCCTGGGGACCTGCTTTGGCCCTGGCTGTGTAGACGGTGGGGTGGTGTCAACCCCTCCTCCCCAGTGGCGGTGCTCGGTGTGGAGGCTTCGGACCCACCTTACAGCTGCTGCCCCCGCTGCTCCTGGGAAAGCCCAGTCCTCACCGTGTCCACCCAAGCCCACAGCCCAGCTGCTGTGCAGCATCGCGCTGCCCCTGTCTAGGCCTGCACTTAGCTGAGGGGCACCAGCTGCCCAGCTGGGCGTGGGGCGTGGCCACTGCGGCCTGTGCTTCTCCCTCCTCCCTGGGCCAGTGCCCGGCTCACTCCCTGCCCTTTCAAGTGTCTGCTGAGAGGTCACCTCCTGCATGAGGCTCCAGCCCACCCCTCCCTGGAATCTTTTGTTTCCCTTCCACACTTGGTCTTCTAACACCCAGACTCGTCAGCTGCCTGTGTTTATTGTACACTGTGTCTCCTGCCAGCACAGTGAAAGTTCCCTGAGGACACGAGTTCTATATTTTGTTTACCAATTTGTCTGTAGAGCGCTTACTAAAGATGTGTGTGATAAATACTGTAGCGTAAATGAATGAATGAATTGCCTACCACACTCCTCAGGGCTTGGCCAGGACAGTTCATGGATTTTTTCCCCTCAGGCCAAAGTGCCAGAAAAACCTTAACCTGTGTTGAAAAACTGATGTTCATTCATGCATTTACTGGTCTGTTTACTGAGCACCTACTATGTGCCAGGATCTGTTCTAGGTGCTGCTGAGACTATAATGAACCAAGCTGGCAAACATGCTGTCTGTCTCCCAGGTCCTGAGACTGTTGTCCTGTTTTCCTTTCTGGTTTGGCTGCTCCTGTGCCCAGAGCTAATTTAGTGAAATTTTCTGAGTTTGGAAATCTCTCCTCTGATCACACCTATTATCCTACTTTTCTTCTCTGTATCTCTTGATTGCTTTTATAGGAAAGGGACATTCTAATGCAGATGGCGGAGCATCCGGTGACCCGACCCCGGACCTTGGGGAGCCGCTGGGGATGAAGTCTCTTGGTCTCTTTCTGAAATCTTTCTGGGTCACCATCTCTGGCCCTTGCTTCTGTCTCTAGACCTGCTTTCTTGCTGGTGAAGTCCTGTCAGTCTAGTGTTTGGGTGAAATTGTCCATTAGATATTTAGTCTTATGGTAAGAAGAATGAATATTCTTTTTTTTTTTTTTTTCCGGTACCGGGGATCAAACTCACGACCTTGCGCTTATGCCGCTGAGCTAAATCCTCAGCCCCAAGATATTCTTTTAAAATATTTCAAAACCTTTTGGCAGCAAAATGCGCCCAGGTTACTGCTACAGAGGGATGTGTGTGCTGGCGGGGTGTGGGTGCATGCAGGCGGGGATGGCCTGTGTGCATGTGTGTGGGGAGGAGCTGGCTCTGGACAGAGGGTCCCCTGAGAGGTGGCAGGTGTCTTGCATTTGCAGTGCTGTCTCCATGCTGCTGCTCTCCTTCACAGGTCCCTCTGTGAGCAGAGGCCGTGCCATCCCTTGGCGGGCTGCCCTCGCCTCCTCTCTGGTGTCCCCTTCTGGTCCTTTGCTCTCTGTTACCATCACAGTGGCTAGGGTGACCCTTGTCACCTGAGGCTTAGTGCCTTGCTGGGGTGGATAGGGACCGAGGAGGCAGCAGCCGTTGGCACAGGGGACCCGAGGTGAGACTCCAAAGGCACGAGGAGCCAGGTAGACTAACACCAGGCCGCGATGGGTCCGGGCGGCCGGCTCACCTCCCTTCTTGGTCTGGGCTCTGGGTCAGGGGCTGGGGGGTGGAAAGCACAGGGGAGACCTTTGCCTGTGCAGCCTGGGGTTCTCACTCTGGTCCCTCACCCCTTTGTTCCTCGTCTCCTACTCTTGCTGTGCCCATGGTTTAGGAAGAGGGATTGAGCAGCTATCTGGTCTCAGGCCTTTGAAGAAGTTAAGTAGCTGCTCAGTGCCTCAGTTTCCCTGCTGCATATTGGAGATAACAGTGCCTACTGCAAAGGATTCCTGAAAGGACCAGCTAACATGATAAAGAATTCCCAGGACCGTTTGCATCTCTTCTGCTCTCAGGAAGTGTCACGGCCATTGCTGTCCCTTGGGTAATGATAAGGAAGCTCCTTGCCCCCCTTGCCACTGGGAAGACGGGCCCAGGAGAAGTGATTCTGATCAGGCCCGGAGCTTGGGTCTGACTGGCTTCCTCTCCAGGGGTGGCCCTCTGTGATCTGCGCAGGTGACCATCCGCCGTGGCATGATGGGGGTAACTGTGTGTCTTGCCCCCGCCCTGAGACCTGGAGGCACCCAGAGGGGGATGGGCACATTCTTGGGAGGAGACAAGGGAGCCTTCAGGTTTGCCCCAGCCTGCCCTGCTCTCTTCTGCCATGGGCTACCCTGAACTGCTTTCCCTAGTGGCTCTGAGGCCTGGCCCCGGCTGGGGGCTCCCGGGGTACAGCCTGTATGCTGGATGGGACCTTGGTGCGGTCACAGCCCCCCAGATATGGCCTTCTCTGATTTGTCCAGGCCTCTGCAGACCTCAGGAGAGATAAAACCTGGTCTAGGGAAGGGGGTAAGCTTCAGACATAGTCTCATTTTTTACTAAGATTGTGTGTGTGTGTGTGTGTGTGTGTGTGTGTGTGTGTGTGTGAGAGAGAGAGAGAGAGAGAGAGAGAGAGAGAGAGAGAGAGAAAAGATGAGTAAAAAATAACCCCATCTTGGCTGAGCTGGGGAGAAAGCAATTTCCTTCTGAAATCTCTTTTTCTGATCCTGGAAAGATGCAATTGGAAAATGTCCTGGTGGCTTTAACTGAGAGCTGGGGTGGCCAGATCGCCCCCAAGGCTGGGGGTGGGGGTGGGAGCAAGGAGGGGCCAGAGAGGGAAGGGACCAAAGCTTTGCAGGCAGTTTAGGTTCCAGTCCCAAGGACAAGCAAGCCAGAGAAACGGCGAGAGGCGCCATTAGGGTACACGAGGCTGAAGCACTAGGCGGTGGGGCTGAAGCACTAGGCGGTGGGGACTGAGCAGACAGGAAAGGGAGGCCTGAGGTCCAGTGGACAGGGACCCCCAGAGGGGTTTTCTGGGGCCAAGACTGAACCTGGCTGGGTGGAGACCCAGTCCTGGAGTGTGTGTCCCAGGAGGCCCTGGGGACAGAGGCTTGAGTCTCCCCAGAGGGCTGTGACTTCTCAAGCCCTTGCTGGAAAGGCACCTGGACCATTAGCAGGTGCCTTGGGGGCTTGGTCAGAGCCTGCAAGAGAAGAGGCTGGTGTGGGGTGGCGAAGGGACGGGGGCCAGCCTCGACACTTTGAGGTTCTTTTCCTTGTCTTCTGAGCGATTCTCTAAGTTCCTCAGAATCTCCTCTGCAGCCCTGCAGCACCCTCCTGGCCCAGCAGCCACGGCGTGAACAAGGACTCCTTCCTGGGGAGCAGCATGGTCCCCTCAGAGTAGGCAGGGCTGGAGACTAAGACTCAGCCTCTCTAGGATCCTCCCGGGACTAATCTTTTCCTTTGACCTCAGGGCCTAAGCATCCTCCAACTAACCCACCAACCAGCCACATCTACCAGCTTACCAACCAAACCGTCGCCCCACTCACCAGTCCACCAACCATGAGCCAACCTGTTGTCCTATGCCTGGGCATGCCACTAACCAGCTCCCTTTCAAGCAATGTGCTCACCACTTCACTAACCAGATAACCCATCCACCAGCCAATCTGTTAACCAACCAACCCACTAATCAACTTACTCTTCAGCCAGCCTGCCATCCCATGATGGAGCCTATCAACCAACTATAAAGCCACCTAGTATGCCACTGTCCAATTGCTGGATGGACACTGCAGAAAAGGTTTAGTATAAAGACTGATTGCCTGCTGCGACAGAGGCTTATCTACCTTCTCCCTTTAGAGTATAAGAATAGAGCTGAGGTTGTGGCTGAGTGGAAGAGTGTTTGCCTGCTTGCAGGGCCTCTCTGCCTTCTTTCTGTCCCTCACACTTCCCAAGCTGAGATCCAAGCATCATCAGTGAGGGCCCGGCCCAGGCCCACTGGTGGTGGACAGTTGGCTGAGGGGCCGTGCTGGTGGCAGACAGGCTGCCTTCCGGGGTGCTGCCTGCACCTCACTGCAGGGCTGGAAAGAGAAGTCCTTTCCTCCTGCGATATCGCTTCAGCTCCTCTACTAACAAAGCTGAACAGAGGCAGGTGGCGAGGAGAACCGTTTTCAAGGCCCAGCTCCCTTATCACCGACTGGGCAGCGGAAAGCGTATTTGAAGCTGAGAGGCCTCAGGTAAGGACTTGTCAGCGCCCACTGCCCTCCACTCCGCCCGCGCAGCCACCCTCCATCCAGCCTGTGTCCACCACCAGCCCTTCTGCCTGCCTGGCAGCCGCACGGCAGCCTGGTCTGCTCAGATGTCAGCCTGTTCTGAGCTTAGAGCAGTGAGGGACACAGCAGTGGAAGAGTGGCCTGTGCCTGGAGGACAGATCTTTGGGAGTCACTTATCTAAAATAGGCAGCGTACACGACCTGTGCCTACAGCCAGCTGCAGATCAACAAGGACCTGCCGCACAGGTGACATCCCTCAAGCCCCAACGAGGAGGCGGCAGCACGCTCTGATGTGAATGGTGGGAGGTCACTGCAGCCTAATGGCATGGAACGGCTCCATGGAGGAACGTTTTCCAGGCTTTGAAGAATAAGCAGAGTGGAGATTTAGATTGGCAAAGGGGAAGAGAAAGCAACAGGCACTGAAGAGGACCAAGTATGGGAAGTCACCCCCATGACAGGGTCGCTGTGCTGAGGGGGCCTGTCACACCGGCTTCTGGGGGCTGCAGGGAGCCAGGGTCCATCTTGTTGTGTTTTGTCACAGAGAGGGATGCTAATCATACCATCGACTCCTTTCATGCTGTCTGGACAGGTTGCTATCTGTGGAGTTCTTCTTCATCAAGGGCCAAACTGGAATAAAAATAAAAGTCCACCCAGTATTAGCAGACATGTGAAAGAACTTCCAGTCGGATCAACACGAAGCTCAGAACTCAGTGCTCTGTAGGTTTTAGGGAAGAGAGAGTCACATCCATCCTGGCTCACTGAAGTCTTGACCTGCACAGAGTTGGTGGATAGCTGTGATGACCCTTCCTGACCTTGAGAGTTCTCTGTGGCCAGGTCCACGTGCTCCTGATTCCTATCAATGACTCTAGTGCCGTTAAGCGTCCTGGAATAAAAAATCTGACTTCAGGATCAATTGATGGAGATAGGTTCTCCAAACATTTGCCGGCGAAGGTAATTAAATTCCAATAGAAGGAGTTGGAGCAGTTGGTGACGACCGGCTGGTGGGGGCAGTGTGCTGGCGCCGGGCTGCTGAGCAGTGAAATCACAGGCGTGTGCAGCCCAGAGCTGGCAGCGACACAAAGGAAATTGGAGCAGTCAAATATTTCCCTCCTCGTTGAGTTCCATTTACATGTTTATAATAGAGGTTCTTAAGGCCCTAATGAGAAGGCTGCTCATTGCAGGGAAGAGGATGATTAAGGCTCTGCCAGACGAGATCAGGGACAGGAACAAAGGCCTGTTAATTACTACAGAGGGACAGGAGGACAGCCAGGCCCGCTTGCTGTTTGCCCAGAGCCTCCCGCAATGGTGTCTTCCTGTTCGCCCAGTTCACCTTTACCCTGAACGCAGGTGACTTCTGGGGAAAGCGTTGGCTAGTTCAGCAGGGTAGACTTAGCGGCTCTGGGCCATTCAGCTCCTCTCCCGAGGGAATAATTTCAGGCTGTACCCGTGGCACAGGCAGATGCATCATCTGGAGTCGCCTTGTGCCTAGCGAGGAATTAGAGGAAACTGTGTTCCTTGACTGCGTGTCTACTTCCTGAGCTGCGAGGAGGCAGCAGCATGGACTTCCAGGCTCTGGAAGGGGCATGGCAGTCATTCCCTGCCTCTACTCTGATCAAGACTTCAAGTCAACACCATGGAGTGGCTGATAAAGCCTCGCTTTCCAGCCTTCGGGATGCCCAGGAGACACGGGTGTACCTCTGGAGAGCCAAGCCGGAATTAATCGCTGGCTGTGCCTTTCCATACAAAGGCAGAGGGTTCTTGTCAAGTTGGTATCAAGGTTCTTTAACAACCAGAATTCATGATAGGCTGAAAAAAGTATAAGGTTTGGGCCATCAGACAAACCTAGGTTCAAAACCCAGGTCTGTAGCGCTGTCCTGTACAGTTTATTAACCTCTCTGAGCATCAGCATCTTCATCTGTATGTAAATGGGGTAATCTCACCTACCTCTCTCTGGGTTGGCTTGATGATCTACAAGGTGACACTGACCAAGCCTGGCACATAGTAGGTGCTCTGTGCATGATGATGGTCACCTTCCCCTACTCCAGTGGGGCTAGATTAGTGCATGGAAGTTGAAGACCCTGGAAGCCTTCATGACCCACGACGGCATGGGCATGAATGCATGCAGTATCTAGTGTCCTTAGGCCACTCTTTTGGGACAAGTGTCTGGGAATTTGGAGGAGGAAGGGCCTGGGGTGAGTGCACTCCCTCCTTCAGGACACAGGAGATGAAGGGAAGACAGAAAAAGTCCCAGGTTTAGGAGCCCCCTAATTTTGCCATGATGAGGACTTGGGAATAAGAGAGGATATGTACAGCAGGGTCAATCTGGCAGTCAAGAGTGAAATCTGAACATTGTTAGGAAAATGATCATCTTGTAAAGGTCCAACCAGAAGTTTCTCAACTAGAACCCAAGCTGAGAGGCTTAGACTTCCTGGTGGATACGGTGCCACCTTATTTCTCTGAACAGTGAGTCTGGGGTGAATGGGATCAGTGACCACGATGTCATGAAAGGAGCTGGGGATCTCGGCAGCTTCCCAAAGCGCTTCCCTCGGAGCTGTCCGAGGTGCTGGTCCAGATCCCACCCAGCAGGGCCTGGCAGGTCCTTTCTGTCCTCTCCCCCAGCCGCTTGTCTGTCCTGCTTGCTACCTGGCAGCCCCAGCCCACAGCACTGACCCTTGCAGCAAGCCCCAGTACCTCTGAACAAACCAAGGCTAAGAATGACTTTTAGCTCCCAGTTTAGTGCGGACAATAACGCAGTCCAATCTGCCTGTATTTTAGTGCACTTTAACCAGAACTCTAGCCAGAACTCACACTTGATCCGAAAGCCTCAAGCCTTCCCTAACCATCAGCATCATTTGCACTCTCAGCCCCAGGGTAGTCTGAATCTGAACCCTTGTCTTAACCTCCCACTGAACCTGGGCTCTGAAGGCTTGGGGCCCTGTAAGGAATTGGCTCCTCCCTGCTTGTGCTTCTCTCCCTCCTCATTATGATCATGTGGCAGGCACTGGGGATGGGAGGGGCATCCTATCCTGTTCCTGTGAAGTCTTCCCATTCTCATCATCAGAAGGAGGATCCCAGGCATGAAGGGGAATATTGTCCCTTTCCTCCTGGGGCTGATTCCCTGGGCTTCACACTTTATGAGACAGAGAGGGGGTGGGGAGAATGGCAGCCAGAAGAAGGTGTGTGGCATTCCTGGGGGACCACAGTGAGCCCCACATGTCTCTTTGTCTGACCCCGTATCCTCCACTTCCTCCTCCCTTGTCCCCTTCCTCTCTCCCACAGACACCGTCTTGGTCCAGGCTGTACCTGGCCCTGGCTGCAGCCCTGCCACCCCTTCTCCTTCCTTGGGAGGATTACATCGTTGAATCATTGAACCAACCCAGGGAGCAGCAGATTTCTGTGATCACAGCCAGAGGACCGTCCCAAGGCACTCACAGGGACTGTCCTCCCCAGGTATGTGCGCTGCGTCCTCTTTCCTGACAAATGCCTCCCAACCCCTCTCCTTGGCTCTCTGGCTCATCTGTTGTTGGGGTGGACATATCATATGTCCACACTGAGATGCTACTGAAACTAAAGGGATCGCTATGAATGATTATGCGGAGGGCAGCAGGGCGTAATACCAGGATGTCCTCGGTGGACCCCTGAGACTTTCCCTCACCACCCTCAGCTCCTCAAGGTCCTGCCAACTGCTGGCTCAGGTCCTCCAACAGCTGTCTGGGCTTGAATGCGGGGAGGGGGAGGTGAGCCCAGCCCAGCTTCTGCTTCTGCTTCCTGCCCTGTGTCCTCTGCCAGGGCACCTCTCCCCTCCCCTCCCCTTCCCTTCCCTCCCCTCCCCTCCCCTCCTCTCCTCTTGTCTCCTCTCCCCTCCTCTCTTCTCCTCTCCCCTCCCCTCCCCTCCCCTCCCGTCCCCTCCCCTCCTCTCCTCTCCTCTCCTCTCTTCTCCTCTCCCCTCCCCTCCCCTCCCCTCCTCTCCTCTCCCTTCCCCTCCCGTCCCCTCCCCTCCTCTCCCCTCCCCTCCCCTCCCCTCCTGTCCCCTCCCCTCCCCTTCCTGTAGAGTGGGGTGATCATTACTGCTCTGCTCATCTCCTAGTGAGACAGAGAATAGGACAAACAGACACACTACATAAATGTGGCCCTTGGAGTTACCGTTCTAATTTCTCACCCAAATTTTGAGCCCAATTTCTCACATTTAATTCCCGCCCCCCTCCTCAGCCTTCTTTCCCAGTGGTGAGCATCTCTCTTCCTCCGAGGTCGCCACCATTCTCAGACAGAGCCTGCACCCAGTACCGACTACTCCTTCCCAGCCCGTGTCAGTCATAGCCACCCAGTTCCCAGCAGGGGAGATGGCATCTTTCCTCTCTGCTGGCCTTGGCACAGCCCTGGGCACCCAGAGGAATTTCGTCATATTGATTCCATGTTGATGTCACTGGTTCTCAAACTTCAGCATGTATCAGAATTGCCTGGTGGGCTCGTTAAAATCCAAATTACTGGCTCAACTCCAGGTTCTGACTTAACAAATAAGGGATGGGGCCCTGAGAGTTTGCATTTCTAGTTAAGTTCTTAGGCAATGGTGATTGCTGGTCTTGGGATCACACTTTGAGAACCACTGTTGATCTCAGAACCAAACCAAACCAAACCAAACCAAACCAAACCAAACCAAACCGAACCGAACCGAACCAAACCAAACCAAAGCAAACCAAACCAACCCAACCCAACCCAAACCAAACCACCCTTTCTCATCCTTCCAGTCTGAGGGAGTAGAGGAGAAAAGCTGGTCTCATAGAAGGGCTGAGAGACGGGAGATGATGGGATCAACACTTCAGGCCTCCTGGAAGCAACAGTCCCTCCCCCATCTCAGTGATAGCCTCAACCTGGGCTGCAGCATTCAAGTTGAATCTGCATGGCACAGTTAGAGGAAGGGAGCCAAGGAGGGTGGAAGCTGGGGAGGTGGCCGCATATTTCATGCTGTTCCTGGCTTTGAAGGTCTTGGGAAGGCAGGCACCAGGCAGGACAGGGATGACAGCCTCATTGTAGTAAGGATGGAGAGATGTACCCTGCCAGGGCTCCTCAGAGGACGGGAGCGTAGAATGGGATGGGCAGGGAGAGGTGGGACAGGGAGGGCAGGGAGACAGGGAGGGCAGGGAGACAGGGAGGGCAGGGAGAGGGGGAGTATCCCAGACCCAGGACCTCCTGGAACTCACCCTTCTCCCCAGCATGTAGGAGTGGCGGTGAGATTCTCCATGCCTGAAGGATCTTCTCCTGCTGCATCTAATGGCCTGTCTCCGTCCCTAAGGGCATCTCTGGGATGGAGAAGTATCTCAATATCTGCAGAAATGTGAAGTTCTGGGGTTCCTGAAATTGCCCGCAGCTGAGCTCCGGTGGTATAAGGGGCCTCAAAATTGCAATAGAACAATAATGGCTCATTTCTGTTTGGCTTCCCATCTCCTCCCACTTGCCCCACCCCCCATGCCAGCCTCCTACAAGCAAGGCCAAGGCTGTTTCTAAAAGGCTTATAATTGAGGGTTTGGGTGGAATCTCTTAGCTTAGCTCTCTAAACAAGCCCCCTTTCCTCTTAGTTTAGGTCCATGGACCCAGGCTCAGCACAGCCCTGATTAGGAATTTAGCATCTGAGACCCACAGTGGTGGGAAGTGAAGGAGGAAGGGTTTCTGTTCAGAGACAAAGTTGGCCTGGGGATCCTTTCTGGGAGCAGAGTGCGGTGTGTGCACAGGCTCAGCGCCTCCTGTTCACCAACCCTGAGCTGACTGCAGTGGCAGCCATGACCCTTCCGGGCTCAGCAGGGACCTATGCCAGCCTCTGAAGGGTCCCAGCACCATTCGGAACCTGTACCTGTGTTTTCTTGCTCAGAAACATCATTTTCTCAATCTAAGATGGTGCGGAGGGGCTTCTTGGACAGAAGTCACACAGCTGCAGGTGGGCTCTGAGCTGCCCCAGCCCTACCCCATGTCTGGGTCACATTTGCCCTCCAAATGACATTTGCATCCCCAGAGTGGGCAGAGACCTGGGGGGTGGGACAGGAGGAGGCTGTACACCTGACCCTCAGTCAGACAGATCCAGGTTCTTGTCCTGCCCGGTTTCTAAGGGTTGGGCCTTGGCCAAATCATTGGCCCCTGCAGCTCCTGGGCTTCTGTGTCCTGAGAATGATAGGGGTCAATGATATGGATTTCATAGGGCACCTCGAATAGCATCTGTGAGTGTCCAGTGATGGTTTGTGTCAGACCCTGGCCTTGTCCACGCAACATCTGTGTGTTCCCTCACCCCAGCAGGGCATTTCTCCTCCAGCCCACTCCAGGGGGAACCAAAGGCCAGGCCTAGAAACCCCTCCCTCAGAGCAACTGGAGTGAACCTTCAATCCTGATTAGCTCCACTGGGCTCCCTCGTAACCTTTTCATTAGGAAATTATGCTTAATAGAAATTGTTCTGACACCTCTCAGGAGCGTTTCCCTGTACTTCATTGCCATGGGGAGGGGGCCAGGTAGCTGACTGCTCTGAGTCCCGGTTCCTTAGGAGAGGGACCTGTCCTCTCCCCTCCTCATCTCTAGTCCAGCCCTTGCAGTGTGGGTGGAAGGGACACAGGACAGAGGTGTTTCTGCTTGGCATCCCCAAGGAGAGGCAGGCCAGCTGTGGATACATCTGGATGGGCCCAGCCTGCTCCCAGCACCCTACCCTGGGTATGACTTGGGAGTACCCAGCTGTTGCCAGTGATTCTTGTGTGTCGATGGTGCTCCCGAGTTTGTGTCATCCTCAGACCATCTCCAAATGTAGAGAGGGGTGCAGTGTCCCCAGCTGCTGTGCTAGACAGGGAGAGTCTAGGGCTCGGGGCTCCAAGCCTCTCTTCTGCTACAGGCACTCCTGGCCACTCCTTTCCAGCAGAAGCCTTACTGGATGGGTCCCGCTGAGGCTGCTCCTGCTGGCCTTTCCTGCCCTCTGCAGCGAGGCCAAGGCAGGGTAAGGACGTGTCCTCCGCTACAGAGCCTGCCAGGCCTGCATTCCCCTGCTGGGCTGGGGCCGAGGAGGACAGAGACCTGATGGGATCTTTCTTCTTTTCCATCTAAGCTGTCTGGGGCCTTGGGACTTGCCTCCCAGCACCTCCTCGTCCCTGCTCTAGCTCTGGACAGTCCTGTGGTGGCCAGGGGTAGCCGCACGTGCTAAGGGCTGGTGGAGACTCGCTTCATCTGCCTTGTCTGCCTCTTACCTGCAGATCTGACAGCTAACTGCAAAGAGTGTCCTTGCGTCCCTCCTGGGGGGTCCCAGGTTGCTGCTGGGAATCTTGGTGCCTTGGGTTTTCTGCTCATAAAGGAGTCAGGCTTGTCAGCCTGTAAGAGGGGATAGGGAGCATGGTGGCCAGAACAGTGCTTTCCTGGTGCTTTGAGGTCTGGGCCATCCTCGATGCCCCTGAGTACTTTCTCACCCAACAACTGGTGAGACCCCTCGGCCATCCCACTATCCAGAGTCTGAAATCAGCAGCAGCCTAAGCTCTCCCGGCTGTATCACTCAGTGGTGTAATTGTGCAGAAAAAATGTATTAAAATGCAAAAAACTCAATTGTACTTCTTTATGTTAAATTTCTTCTTCGCTCTATCTTCCTTTTAATTTTTACAAGGTTTTTTTTTTTTTTTCTCTCTCTCCCCCTCTTTTAAAGAGGAGAACTGGGCAGGCAAGGAATCATCTCAACTCCCCTATAAATCTCCAAAATGAATACTTAAATTCGAGGAAAAAATACATTCTTACACCTTTAATTTCCCTGCTATGAGGTATAATGAAAAAGCCTGATTATTTTTAATTCTTCCCTTTAATAATTCAGTGGCGGAGTGATTTAAGACTAGGATTCATAATTACCTTTCTGCTTTCTTGGAGTTTGAATAGAAATGAGAGCTCCGGCGACTGAAATGGATTGCAACAGGTTGCTGGGGGTTCAGGTCCGATGTCAGCCGGTGGACTGTCTCTAGTGCCTGTAAGATGTGAAGTCCGGACTGGACACGGGCCCAGGTGGACAGTGGGGAAGGTGCAGTGCTAGCATTGCAGGGAACTAGCTGCCAGAATAGTAAGGGGGAAGTCAGCATGGGTGTGGGGTGACCCAAGTATCCTGAAAGGCACGCATTGGTGAAAAGCGGCCATCAGAAAACTCTTGATAGCTGGGCGCAGTGGTGCACACAGTAACCCCAGCACTGGGGAGGATGAGGTAGGAGGGTCGTTGCAAGTTCGAGAGCAGCCTGAATTGCATAGTACGACTCTGTCTCATAAAGATAGAAAGAAAATCTTGAATGCAGTAATGAATAATAATCATAATATTAAGGATAGGAGTTACTGTTAACTGAGCAAATACTATGTGTAGTGCTCAGTGCTTCAAAGTCATTCTCTTTCCTGACCCTCACATTAATTTATTCTACTTCAGGGAAACCAAGGCTCGGGAGGACTGGACAGGCCAAAGCCAAGGAAGATGGCAGAGCTGGGGTGTGAGCTCAGTCGTGTCCAACTCCAAAGCCCCCACTGCCCTCTGCCGACTGAGGCCCCACATGCTGCCTGCGTTCATCACCCAGACACTGCGCCTGTCTGCACAGGACTCCCAGATCGAGGCAGATGTGCCTGGTGATCTCAAGGAGACGTGGACAGGGCCCCCCAGGCTGGGGCAGCCGGGTTCTGTCTCCTCCTGCTCTGCTGCCCACTAGCTTGCAGACCCCGGCTAATCACTTTCTGAGATTCAGTTTCCTATCTGTAGAGTAGAAACTGACTCGGTTGATAGGAGCTCCGCATATGAAAATGCAGGTGGAAAATGCCTGTAAACCCTAAATGGCTCTAGAATTATTTGGTGGAAGAAGACTTAGGCTGTTTCCATCCTGCCCCACCGCCTTTTTTTCTTGCTGCCTGCATCCCCAGACTTCCTACCAACACCCAGTTCAGATTTACCTCCTCCTCCAGGAAGCTTCCTCCAAGGGAGGATTGACTCCTTCCAAGGTACATTGTCCCAGCTGCTTCCTGCTTTGGGTTTCGCATTTGAGTCCTTAAATTCTTTGGGAGAGCACCGGTATATGCATCCAAGCCTCCTACAGACTGTTATGGCACAGGGCAGTGCCTTTGTTCCCTCCCCTCTTTCTGAATGCTCAGACCTCTGGCCCTGCATTCAGGCTGTACCGCATCAACGGTGCAGGCTCACTGGCTGGGTGGAGATGGACACTGAAAACCTACAGATAATCCCCAAACCAAGAAGGGTGGTACAGGGCAGCGGATGTGTGCGAGGGGATGAGTGCACACATGTACCCTCTTCTGTGTCTGCAGCTGTCACCTGAGCTTGTCTGCAGCGGACACTGTACCCAGCATTTATTTTATAGTTTATCGAGTGCTTCCCCGTATGTTAAACGATATGGTTCTCAATAGCTTCCACTAGGGAAGTGGCAGTGGTAGGGGCCCACTGTCGCTGCTCAGAGCAGGACAGAGTCCAGCCTTGCCCACCACCCCTACGACCCACGAGGAGCCCCGGCCTCTGCCTCCCTCCGAAGCTGTGGTGCTCACCGGAGGTTCCTAGGGCGGACGGGGAGCACTGGAGTGTGTGCCAGGGAGGCCTCACCGAGGGGGGAAGGCGACTTCTGAGGGTTTCAGGACTCCCCCAGAAGCATGTGCTTGGAGCAGAGCCACCCCAAGTCCGGCAGGAATCTAAGCTGTGACCCAGAACACACTTGCGATTGGTCTCATTGAGGCCATGGGGGCTGGGCCTCCTTCCTCTGGAGTCATGGTGCCCTTGGGGGCCTGAGCAAGAAGAGAGGGGCTGGAACCCGAGGAGGGGTCTTGAGGACCTCTGCCCAGCCTGGGCGGCCCCTTCCCTCCTCCCAGTACTGCTCCCCAGAATGAGGCAGCAGCAGAGGGGCCCTCAGAAACACTTGAGGCCTGATTGGGCGTAAGTGTCTGATAATGACTCCCATCAAATGTCAAGCTGCGTGCTGCGGCTCCTGGGGCTGATTACTCCCCCTGGGAGGGGGTGCAGTGGGGGAAGTCTGATCCTGGATGCTTCTCCACTGTGGAGATCCACCCCAGGCTGGTCGGCAAGGCAAGGCAAGGCAGTTCTCCTGGCTGGGCTCACCCTGCACACAGCTCCAGGGCCCGCCCTGCTGAGCACTGCCTCTGGCTGGAACTGAAGGGGCGGGGCCGAGACAAGCACTTCCCCAAAGCACTGCCCCACCCAGGGCCTTGCAATGGACAGAGGAAAAGGAACCTGGACTGGCTCTTTGCAGAAAAGGCAAGGTTCTGGGGAGCACGAGCCACCGAGACTCGATGACTGTGACAAAAGTGTTTCTCAGGAGTCTCTGGGTTAGCTGAGTGAGACTGCTGGTCTGGGCCTTATCTCAGAGCTGGCTCTCTGTCACCTCTGCTGTGTTCTGTTGGCTATCACAAGTGCTGCAGTTTGGATCTTGAATGTTTCTTGGAGGCTCATGGGCTATGTCACCACAGGTCAAAGTGACAGAGCCAAATAGTCAGGGTTTGAAACTTCTGAGACTCTGAACCAAAGTAAACCTTTCTTTTCTTTAAGTTAATTCTCTCAGGTATTTTGTCAGAGTAACAGGACGCTGACTAACACAGCAAGTCACAAGGCAGTTTAGATTCCATTGGAAAAGAAACAGACTCCATTTCCTCCTGGGAGAAGCTATAAACTCCCATCACCAAGGGCTGTGAGTACCAAGAGATGGACTTGGAGAATATCATGATTGGAAAATAGTTTGAGTGTCCCTTGAGGGTCCGGTTGCTGGAGGCTTCACCCTCAGGGTAAGACAGCAAGTGGACAAATACTTATAAATCCTAAAGTGCTGTGCCTATGTCCCTTGCTAGAGTCACAGGCCTCCTTCGTGACAACAGGCTTCCTGGGAAAAACTGTCCTGTTGTCTTGGGGACTTATGGATTTTGTTCATTTCCGGTAATAACTAATACTAGGCTTTTTTAAATTATTAAGTAATTTCTTCTTTGGAAGAAGAAACATCAAAGAGTTTGCTGAGTTAGACTTGTGGCAGAGAAAGTTCTAGAAATGAAGTCACGGTCCTCCAGGGCAGGAGGCTGAGGGCACTAAGTGTCACTCTGAGTGTCTGAGCAGTTCAGAGCCAGCCAGTGTCCCCGATCCACTCTGTGTCCCAAGTGTAGATGCTAGTGAGTGTGCCTCAGCTCTCGTCCTGCCTCCACCGGGAAGGTATTTCACTGCACACACACAGACACTGCGCCTGTGACCGTGTGGGGTGGGGGCAGAGCGACGAATGCCAGTCTGCAGTTGGCTGTCATGGTTTGGTGTCTGACCTGTGCCAGGTGAATTACAGAGAATCATGGCTGATAGACGTGTGGTAGAGACTGAGCATAGCCCTTCTGCTTCCGTGGCTGTTACTGGCCCTAACACTGCCTGGGGATCACTGAGTTCCAAGTCCAGCAGGAGCAGAAGATGCTGAAGTGGCCATGAAGGTTGTGGGTAGGATTCAGATTAGATGAATCAAGAACTTCTTCACTTCTGTGAGTTGTAACAATAACAACAATAATAATAACTGACTTCATCAAGCACTTACCACGTGCCAGGTACCACGCTAAAACTTTCACAGACTGTATCCCATTGAGAGATTGACGGTAACTTGCTCAAGGTTCCCCAGCAGGTGAGAAGGTGAGGTGGGCCTGAATGCAGGTGGCCTGATGCCACCTGAGGTCTGACGCTCGTTGCTAAAGCCACATCCACTGCCTTCTGCCTTGGGCCTGTCCAGGTCCCTCTGCCAGGTGGGGAGGGTCGCTGCCAGGGGACAGGAAAGTGCACTGCCTTATCCATGGAAGGAGCAGCTGGACTTTGTGCCTTCCCCAAGTGGAGCAGTGTACACAGAATAGGTGCGTGAGTGGAACATGTCTGGCCAGGCTCTACCGTGAAGGAAGGATGCATCGCTCGGGTACCCAAGGCCATTAGCCCCCTTCCCACATGGGGGCTGCTCTCTGGCTGTTTATCATGCCCAGGGTGTGGAATTGATTCCAACAAGCTTGTCCATTTCCTCCAGAAAGAGTGCAGAGTAGGGGTATGTGTTCAGGGACAGACCTGGGTTGGTAATACCTTCCATAGGGGCATTTTCCCAGGGGCCTTTGGAACATCCTCTGCAAGGATAGGGAGCTGTCCAGGGTCGCCTGGGGCTGGGTGGAAAAAACTGAGACAGTGTGAGCTGGAAGGAAGGCGTCTGTACGAGGCAATCTGTCAGTGAGGTTAGGGACCTAGGCAGGGTTCAGAGGGCACATCTGTGGTATTGTAGGGGGGCATTTAATGGGGCCATTCTGATGGGGACTGTGGGGCCTGGAGCCCAGCCTAATGTCTCTAGAAAAGACAAGGACAAGGTATGGGCCATTCTCTGTGTATATTGCTCAATTCAGAGCCAGGGTTCTACGGGTTTTTTGAGGTCCAGTAATGAAGATAATGGTAATTATTATCAACAAATACTTAGCACCTGTTATTCTGTTATCCTCCAGGTTTCAGATGAGACCTGGGATGTAATGATAGAAAAGATGTGGTCCAAAGTTCAGAATCCAGAGAAAGAGAGAGAGATAGAGATAGATAGATAGATAGATAGATAGAGAGAGAGAGAGAGAGAGAGACAGAGAGTTATTTGGGGTGCTGCTGGTGACTCACATAGAGGGTCATGCCCCTGTGAAGTCTTCCAAAATAGAGTCATGAATACAGTCATGAACAAAGCGTTTGGGAGGAATTCAGGCAGGGGACACGCAGGCTGGGTCATCAGAATGAGTGTCACTCAGCAAGGAGGGGCACACTCCTTCAGCCAGTGCTATGGTCTCAATTTGCACCCCCAGCTGCCCCAAACTCATAATTAAAATCCTAAGTCTCATGGTGATGGTATTTGGGGTGTGGTCTTTATGGGGTGATTATATCACAAGGGTCTGGTCCTCACAAATGAGGTTAGTATCTTTATAAAAGAGACCTGAGGGAGGCTCTGATCTTTCTACCATGAGAGGACACAGCTAAAATTGCCATCTATGAACTCAAAAGCTCTTATCACACACCAGATATGCTGGGGTCTTGATCGTGGACTTCTCATCCTTTGGAAATATGAAAAATAAATTTCTGTTGTTTATAAACTACTTGGTCTATGGTATTTTGTTATAGTAGCCTGAGCAGTCTAAGATAGCCAGGGTCTGTAGCTATAGCAACAGAAGCTTACTCTGACCTGGCTAAGCAGAAAAGGAATCTGTTAGAATGCCGGTGCCTCATACAGCCATACAGAGGGCTGGGGAGCCAGATTGCAGGGTAAGGGGCAGGCTGGTGCCCACTGCACACAGGACTGACCCAGTGTGACACCCACAGCAGTTACTGCTGTCTCCTCAGGCACCAGAGGAGCCTCAGCTCCCCTGTTGCTGCTTGCTGAATGAACTTCTGGGCCGGAAACTTAACCTTGCTGTCCCATCTGCCCTAACAAGCCAGAAGCCACCATTTCCACCTTTGCTAGCACAGTGGATTCCAAGCATCACCTCCTTACACTTCCTGATGAGTGAGTCTGCTCGGTGGAACCTGAGTTACGGATCTGTGCTCCAACTGCAGATGTGGCCGGGTAATCAAGTTTCTGCTTTCTGCCTTGGAAAGTTACAACTCATAAGGTGAAAACTCCCAAGCATGGCGAGTATGTTTGCAGCACAGCCAACCAACAACAAGCGCGGTAAAGTCCTCTACCAGGATGGTAAGGCCACAGCCCTGACTTGGAAGTGTGCTTTTCTTTCCCCAGTGAACTTCCTGAACTTACTACAGAGTAGTCATCTGTATGCAGAGCGGAGGAGGACTCAGTGATGGAGAGGGTGGTGGTGGTTGTGGTGCTTAGATGATAGGTCCTTTCACTCACCGATATCCCACGGGAGGTGTAAGGCATGTGGCTAGCTCTCAGGCTTGCTAGGTAGTCTGTGATGCAGGCCATTGTCTGATTCGCTACACTGGGAATAGACAATGGGCCCGGCTCTTCTGAGACAGAAGGGAACTAACAGATTCAGGTCGACTCAGAGACAAACCGTTCAATACTCCTCTGTGTGCTTACTCAGCTGTTGGTTACTACAGTCAAAGGTTTCTAATCCCCAATCGTCTTTCCCCATTTGTTTTGACACCACTTCACGACTGGAGGAGCTGGTCCAGAGCCTCAACAGCACGAGTGGCCTAAGCAGTGTCCTCTCCTGGCCAGTCTCCTTGGTCAAGAACAGGCCAATGCAAGGCAAGCAGAGGTTTTGGGTGGGGCTGGAGTAAGACTTCCCGACACTTTTGCAAAAGTCTCAGAGTTGCTGTCTGTCTGCTAGTGTTCTCTAGAAATGGCTGTGGGTGGATCTAACACCCATAACTGCCCCAGCAGCCTCGTGGTTTAGTCACAGGAAGAACTGCACACACCAAACATTCACAGGGAAACCAGGCTACTCTGCCTGCGAGTTTCCAGACATAGCGAATTTCTGAATGATGGGAGCTACTTTGTTATAGCGTCTGTGTTTTGCCTTCGAATATTCACTCATAGCTACAACACACTGAGCTGAGATGCACCAGGGAAGCCCATGTCTAGGGGATCCTATTTAGGATAGAAACGCTTTAATAATAGGTGACCCACAGCCCCTTAGTGCCTCAGAGCGTGGAGGAGTTTTCCAGGAAGGTGTGAAGCTAGCTGCCAACCTCCACTAGGGTTCAGATGGGAAGAGACTGGGTAGAGGGGAGGTGGACGGGGCAAGGTTGCTGGTCACACTGCTCCTGGACAGGGGGGAATGCGACAGCCTCCGGGGAGCCCTCTCGTGTTCCACAATCATGCCAACAGGGCAGAGGTTGTCAGGGATATTTCTGTCTCCAGATCAAGCCCCCCAGGGGTGTAGATCCCCTCCATGTTATTTAAAGATAAAGGAGTCCCGGTGCTCCAAAGGCCTCCAAACCGCTCTGTATTTTCCTGGGAGGGGACTTAGGGTGGAACATAAATAAGACAATTTATTCAGAGAAACCATCTCCTCTATTTACATTTAAATTGAATAATTTAAAACACCTTTACCCATTTCCATAAATTATCCCCCATTGGAGGGGTAACCCAGCTGCATGGAGGGGGTGCCATCCTGGGAGAGGCCTAATTACATTCACTGCCACAAGGCTGGTGGGGAGGGCTGGGGTGGGGTGGGCAAGCTTGGGGGAGGGGAGACAGGCTGCAGTGGATGGGGGGCTCTGAGAGGAGGCAGGGTCTTGTCCTGGAATCAGCAGGAGGAGGGCATGTAATACAATGGTGACATGGTGACGTCCCTTTAAAAACCTTAAAGCAGGGGGTGAAAGACTCCCAAGTCCTTCCTTTTCACGGGAGCCAAGACACTGAGACATCATCCACAGTGCGACCCTGGGTCATTTGCCCTATTTTTATGACTTTGGAAGACTCATCCTTGGGAGCCAAGAGAGGAAGAAAGAACTGAGTTCCCTCGTGACTAGTCATAGGCGGCTGAGACTCCCCGAGCTGAGGGCTGGGGACACAGGACAGCCCGGCCTGGCCCTGCCCTTCTGGGTTCCGGGCTGGGACAGAGAAAGAAATTTCCTGCCATCTGAGCAGGGGTGGGAGGGACAGGAGGGTCTGTAGGAGGTGAGAGGAGAGGGAGGAAGTGTCCTTGGGAGGTGGCTTTTGAGATGGTCCCAGAGGATGGGCAGGTGCAGGTGGGTGCGGAGCAGGGAAACAGCGTCCTGAAGAGTGGACTGGAGCTAGCCAAGGCACAGAGATGGCAGGAAGCCTGCTGGTTTGGGCTGAGGAGGCCCGGGTGATTTCAGGCAGGAGTAGATGACAGGCTGGAGGCGCGAAGAGGGCTAAGCTTCACATTGCAGGGCACAGGGGCAGAGCCGCAGCAGACCTGGGGCACCGGCATGGCGCTGTGATCCTTAGCAGTGCCTGGGAGCTTGTGTGGATAGAGTGTGGGTGTTTGGAGCCTCTGTCATGGAGCTCATCTGGATCCTTTAGGAAAGAAAGCCTCCAGTCCCTGAGAGCCTCCATTTCCCCACCAGGGGCCCAGGAAGGCCAGAGACTCCTCCCAGGCTTTGCTGATGCAGAAGGCATCTGACTCCTGGCAACAGCCAGCTTGGGCTCGCAGATGCTGGGCTCCCTCTGCTTTCAGGGTCTCTGGGCTGCCTAGCTTACATTGTTCTGTTCTGACCTGCTTTGTTATGTCCTGTTTTGTCTTAATCTTTTTAAAATAAAAAAAAATTTTAAAAAAGGTGAGATACACCTGGGAACACCTCGCTAAGTGGTGGTACCCACGACATTTAGTTGGCACCTGCTGTGTGCCGAGCTCTCTGCCAGTGCCTTAAAGTCACCCAAATCTGAGGCCCCGCTCCCCTATCACTTTCCTCTGGCTCTTCCAGAGACAGGAGCTCTCACCAGCTCCTCTCCAGCCCAATGGAGAGCAGTTCAGTGTGGCCTTAATGGTAGCAGGTGACAGGCTCTTAAGTGCTTCTGACAACTCTACGTGGCAGGCAGGAGAGCAGCTCTGCTTACAAGACGGGGAAGTGAGGCTGCAGGACTTGAACCTGGAGTTGTCTGCCTCTGAGAGAAGGCTGCTACTGGCAGGCTGAGCTGTGTGGCTGGCGAGGACGGGACGGCAGCTGCTGGCGGCCATGTGAGCAGATGGGGCGTAAATCTCTCTGGGAAAGCAGATTAAAGTGGCTGTGGGGGTGCTTAAAAACTGCAGTCCCCTTGCATGTTAATGGATCCAATCAGCCTGTCCATTTGCAATGGTCCTGGGGCCTCCCGTGAAGTAAGATCCCGCGGAAGAATGTCTGTGGGTCAGTGCACTCCTGGCCCCTTCTGCCTTTTAAAGCCAAGGCTCCCAAGACAAACCCTCTTATTTAGGAAACAGAGGTCTCCAGTGGCAGCCTCTAAGCTCCTTTTTAGCCTGACCCTGGGACTACTGTCTCCCTCAGCCAAGTCACGGCCTTCGCCTCTTTCTATGGACGTCAGATGTAGGTTCAGATCCCAAGTCTGCCTCGCTAGCTGTGTGGTTTTGGGAATGTCCCTTCCCTCTAGGAACCCAAGTCTCTTTGGGATTGTAATGCTGACCTCAGAAGGTCACTGTGAGAGTGAACTGAGATTGCAGAGTGAGCACGTGGCAGAGAGCTTGGCACACAGCAGGTGCCAACTAAATGTCGGCTTCTTTTCTAGTTGGGGTGCCACCTCTTAGCGAGGTGTTCCCAGGTATATCTCCCCTTTCTTCCACATCCTGGGGAATCTGATCTGGGAGACCTTCTAGGACTCACTCCCTGCTCTGACTCACCCCGATGCTCGGGGTGCCCGGCCCTGGGGTTTGCAATTTATAGGTGCTCACTGCCACTGATGGTAGAGCTGGGCCAGGTTGGCCTGCTTGTCTCCTGTCTCCACCCATTTCCTGCTGTTGACTTTGGATATTGATTTAAGATGCTTTTGTCTCACTCTGTGCTTCATTCTCCTCTTCTGTTAAAAGAGGTCAAATAACACTCACCTCACCGCAACCCTGCCCCACCACGCATGTCGCAGACGCTGGGGGCTTGCATCTTACTAACTTGGTAACTGCGCATTACTGGCAGGGGGCTTGTCAGGGTGCCTGGGGTAACAGCAGAGCTCTTTGAGAATGATCGTTGTCCCTCTAGGGAGGTTTCCCATGTGGTTTGGGGATCAGTGATCTACAATGGGGATATCCTCTTCAGTTAAAAAGATGATTGGGCACCTGTGGTATGCAAGGCCCTCCCTGAGCTATGTTGTGGCTTGATAATGGGCCCATCAGAGATTTTTCAAGGTCCTAGCACAGAGATAGCACTCCATGCCATCTTGCTCATGCCAGCCTCACCCCAAGGAGGTCAGTTAGCCTGGGTTTTGCAGACTTGCGAGAGGAAGTCCAGCAGGGGGCAGAGGGTGACTCCATGGGTGTGCTGCCCAGGATGTCCTGTGATCTGGGCCATGGCTTGGCGATGTCAACTGTGTTTGAGTCTTGCTTTCCTCATAAAACAACAAAGGTCACCTACAAACCCTGAAATTCTGCATTTCTGGATCTTTAGAGTCTTTAGTAAATCTGATCTTAATTCCTCTTGCTGCATTTGAAGACTGCATATTTGGTTATAGGAAAGCAAC